AATCTTCTTCCCACTCTGTACAGTCATCAGAGACTCAGAAAGCAGACAGCCTTAGGATTGGTCTCCGTGGGATGGGAGCAGCAAACTCCTGGCTGTTCCTGACACCGGGATGCCCCACCATGTCCTGGGGCATCGTGCCGCAGGAGGAGCACATGTCCTGCGGCTGCACAACGTTCTGCCCATCGGCACTGCACGGACTGGTGTGCGTTACCAAGGGGTGCTAACAGAGGCTTTTAGGCAATGCCACAATGCATGCCTTATAATCCATTTAGGGGTTTTAATTCACTTGTTGTAACACATAACAGCTTCATCTCCACCATCAACCTGAACTTCTGCCCTTTCCAGGAGCCACCAGCCGATCCCCCCCCACCAAGCCAACACACTCGGGATTTCTCTTCCTGGGCATGGCTGCAACTCTGGAGTCATTACCTGGTGTCAGTGGTGGTGGGCATCATAGAAACAGGGGGCATCCCTTGGGCAGTCAGACTTGTGTCACCTCCCCAAGGATGCCTGTCCTGCAGCATAGGAACTTTCTCCTTCTTAAACCCTGGAAGACCTTTACTCTTCTCAAGTTAATCCTCTCCCAGCTTCATAGATCATTTCGCCAAAGTGTATTTATGATGGAGCAAAAAGAAAAATACATTTAAAATACATTCTTGTTTCATTTACAGTTCTGTGTGTGCCAGACCATTCCTGTCCTTACTCTTGCAATACAGCCCTCCAAGAGAAACTTCTGCAAAACCACCTAGGGACATCCTGCCAGCTTCCAGTAAAGCATGTGAAACTCCTAAGAATCAATTAATCCACTTTGAAACAGTGAGTCCAGCTCCCAAACACTTGGGCAGCTCTCAGTCTGGAGTCAATGCTTTGGTAAGAGCCAGATTCAGAGTAATTCAGTTCATGAGCAAACCAGGTCCCAGCACAAAAGGATTTGAAGCGTGAAACCTATATCAAACTGGGCATCATCTATACGTGACTCTCTTGAAAATCTGCTTTCAAGGACCCCCAGGGCTTCTGATACAATTGGCTTAACTTTATTTAAAGATCAGCCTCTAGTAGACGATTGATTTTTGGCAGTCTCTGGGTGGTCGTGGAAAACACGTTTTACATTGTCCATGCAGTCTCTTACCTCTTTCCATTAAAATGTAGGTTTTAGCTAATACACTAAGAGTAGCTTATGTTCAAAGGGGAAAACCATATCAGAATCCCCAAGGAAAAAAAAAAAAAAAAAAAAAGGATAAAAATCAAAGAAGAAATACAGCAGCAGATGGTGGATTAGCCTACCCTCAAAGGCCACCTGAATCCAGCTAAACCACACAGATGATCAGCAAAGATAACCCCACATCTGGATTACCCCGTGTCCCTGGCCCTCACTGCTCTCTTCCCTCTAGACTGCGGTGCCACGCTAATGTTTATATCTCAAACACGTCGCTTAATAACTATGCAATTTCATTCATGCAATACATTTTTACGATTTAAGACCTTTGTAGAATTTTACGACTATTTTTAATTTATCATACTAATTCAAACTGTAATATCCTGCCAGAGATGTAGAATAGGGTTGACATATGTCCCTTGTTCTGAATAGAAGAATGTATTAGAGTCTAGCAGCTAGAAAGAGCAAATTTAGGTTTTATCTCAGTCAGATCCATTTTGGTCCCTTCCTGCTCTAGATACCCTGCTATTTTTCTTTTGTTTAAAGGTGGCTGGCAAAGAAAAAGCAAAAATGAGAGCTGTGCCTTTTGTGTTTCTGCTTTTTCCAGTGTACGGACTAGACAGAGTGGGAGAGGTTATTACCTACAATAAAAAAGAATTACTTTCTTTCTCTTTCTTCAGAAATTCAGGTCTTGTGTGTAGAAGGAAAATCTTGGATAGGAGATTGACAAGCAGGACAAGACAGAGCAAATTGCCCTTTGGGACTTCTGTGAAGCTCTGATCTTTGTGCCCACTCGTAGACTGGTCTCTTGTGTTATCAGGTAGCCTGGGGGAAGCACAGATGGAGGAACGAGCTTACAGAAAACTTATTGCCTGGTTAATTTTTGCAGGATGTTGGAGACCAAATACCAAATATACTGGGGGCTGGCCTGATGGGATTCAAGTTTCCACCCACAGCAGCCCTCCAACACATCTACCCAAAGAGGGGGAGACAAGCTTGATGCTACTCATCATTTGTAACCAAAGAAAAGAAAGAAAAGAAAAAAAAGAGGCCTATCCATCACCACAAAGCCACAAAGAAGAGCCCAAACTCAATTTTCTCAATTTGGAAAAGAAAATCTTATGCAGGTCACCTTTAATTTGAGTGATGCCAGGTGAGCAATTCTCTGCCTGGGTCTGTCTGCCAATCCTTCTAATTCCTTTTGTCATGATGGTTCAAGAGCATTATTGAAACGCAAAATACAGAGTTTAATTACAGAGGACAATGCACCGGATTACGCTAACTGCTGATCTCAAAAATGGCTTTCTTTCCCTGTGTTTTAATCTCAGCGTTCATGGAATTAGAATGGGAACCCAAACCCAGCCCTCCCCTGCTGCAGAGCACCACTCACTGTGCTCTTGTCCAAATATCAACAAGGAGAAAAATCCCAGCTGAGATGTCAGAGGTGACCCTGGGTGGAAGCCATATCTCGCTTTTAAATCCCATCCTCCACACAGGTTCAGCTCGGCTCCTCCATACTCCCCATCTGTCTTTGGTGGGGTCCCACCCTGGCAAGGGTTTGCTGGCACCGGCCACCACCAGCACCGGGCTCCAGGCTGCAAGCTCGGTAACGCAAGAGATGCAAAGGTCTGGGCCTGGGAAACGTCAGCCCATGCCAGGATGTGTTCCCTGATAGTCAGCAAAACTTTTCAGTCCTTCATTTCATTCTATTATTTCTGCTGATGGCACTATAAATAATTACTCCCCACCCTCTGCATGCTTGCGAGGCTTGAGTCACTTTGCTGAACCAAGATGTACGTTTTGCTCTATTCATCTCTGCCTGCTTGTATTTGTGGGTGGCTTTTTCATCCCACCACCACCACTGCTTGCCCTCCCGGTGGCACAGGGCTTACCGGGGCACTTCTTGGGGGTGCATGAGATGCCACACGGTGGAGAGCATCTCCCCATCACTGGCTGCTGCCCCTTGCAGTGTGGGGGGGCTCTGACCCAAGGGGTCCCCTCCACTGTTGCATCTCCTTTGCCCACCCGCAGCCATCAACGACAGCTAGTGGATTTTGAAACCCATTTCTTGTCCAAGTTCAACTGCAGCCCTGCTCAGATCCCCAAGCCAGGTTTTGTAGCCATGGAACTAAAGGCGCTTTCAGGTTTCCTTGCCAGGTCACTCACTCTCCTGCTGCAAGCTGGAAACAAGGCAGCTATTATCCTGCATCTCGGTCGCAAGGGCCGTGCTCCCTCATCTTGTCACCCAAAGTCACAAACAAACCACCACCAGCATGCATTACAACAACAATATGAGAGCCACTGACAAAATGAACACAGACCAGGAAAACCAATAAATGCATATCCCTGGGGCACACAGCATTTATTTACAGTCCTGCACCCCTATGAATTAACCAGGGAGCCCGTGCTACAGATTTCTCTCTGCCCCAGCATCTTTGTTTTTGCTTGCCAGCAGCATCTCCTCCTCTCTGAGTTTATTTCTTCGACTGCTCAAGTTGAAACATATTGCTGCCCACAAAACACCTGATACCTCCAGGTGCACTTGCTCAGCTGCTCCCATACTGACATACAGCTCTGTTTCCCTTGCTCACTTGGAAGTTTCCCTGTCCCATCCCTCTTTCACTTACAGCAGTTATTGTTGCAGACACGAAGCCCGGTTCTCTGTCCCTGCTGTACAGCCCCAAAATTCCCAGGTGCTTTAAGATATTCTGACTTCACAACATCTCCTCAACAAGCTCACTGCCCTCCAAAATGACAGCTAGCTGGAGTTTTTGCTGGTGGATTAATGAAAGTTTTTTTTTGCTGTGCTAACATCTCAACATGCCATACATAAACTGCTTGTCCCCTGATTTACGGGGAGCGGTGGCCACAATCTAGCACTTCTCAAGGAGATTAGTGGCTGCTTTTTCAACCCTAATTCAAGCCTCGAGGAGGTCTGCTATTTGTCAAAAGTGTTATTAACCTCAGCTAGGCACCAGGACAAATGTTTTCCTGGCAGAGCCCCTTGCGGGGAAGAGGGCTCCTTGGGACCCTTGCTCACCTGGGACCCATCTGCAAGGAGAAAAGCCATCTCTCATTAAGCTCAGGGGATCCCAAACATGCACAGAGACACTTGCAGAGATGGTGAGGAAGGAGCTGCAATACATAATTTGAAGAAAAAGCTCTGGTGTGTAGAAATATAAATGAAGAGATCACTCAGTTAGGCGCAGAGGGGGAGAGAAAAATCAATTGGCAAATGTGCTAGTTAGCAGTTAAATGTTCTCCGTGCACGATGTTCCCACCGAAGGGCAATTTATAAGCCCAGAGAAAGCTGCCGTGGGTTATGCCGCTGAGCAGAAACTCCAGAACAAATACAACACCATTGCTCCTAAACCCTAGGACCCAGCTTCCTCAGAAACGCTCTGCATTGATAGTGCAGTGCGCATGGAAGGACGTGGTAAAACTCTCTTCACCTGGTGCAAGGGAAGGCAGCGGGGAGAGGAGCCAGTGGCCACGGGGGCAACTGGAGGAGAGTGGCAGGGAGCAACTTCTCCGGTGATTTGTGCGATAGGTAACCCAACTTATCTTCCACCGAGTGGCAGCTCTTTGATTTAAAGAGGAAGGAATAAAAGCGCCTAGGGCATGCACGCAGTTATTTCCAAGGAAGCAAAGGGAACGGAGGGGAGGAGGCAGAGCCCCGTGTCCCCAGGTGCGCTGCGGGAGGGCACCGCGCAACCCTGCCCACACCGGGCGGCCGGCCAGCAAGCCCTTGGACTTCTCTCCAGAAAAACGGAAAGAGAGGGAGAACGGGGGGAGCGAGAGAGGGGTAGAAGCCGTGCCAGCAGCCCCGGCCCCCAGCGCGTACCTGCTGCCGCCGGTCCCAGGTGAGCGGCTGCCCCCAGCCATGCCGTGGTGCTGGCGAGCCCCGAGGTCGTCCGGAAGAAGCGAGAGTGTCTACCGCTACTTGGGAAGACAGAATAGAGTACAAGCGTTAATTAAAAGAGTCTGAAGGCTCTCTCCTGCTTGCCTGCTCGCTCTTTTTTTTTCCAGTACCGGATCGGATTTAAAGGGCTAGAACCCCAATTTGGTGTTGTTGCTCCCCAGGAGCGATGCTCTCCTGCTCCGGCCTGCCAGCTCCAGCAGCAATTCAGCTGCCATCGGGACCATCCTGGCAATCCAGCAAGCCCGTAGTAAGCAGCGGCGGGAGTTCCTCGGTGACAGCAGCAACAAATTGTAAATCAATGCTTTGGAGAACAGGCACGGCCACTCGCGAGCAGAGATGCTATTGGCAGCATGGTGAGACGGAGGGAGGAAAGTTTGCTTTCTACGAGCTCCTGGCAGCTCTGGCAAGGTGGGAGGAGGGTCTTGTCCCCTCTGTCCTAGTGCTACCACCTCTCCTGGATGCCAGTGTTGGTGCCCAAAGGCTCTGCCCTCCCACGCTGGGTGGCCACAGGGAAGGGCTGCGTCACCCCAGCATGGCATGGCCATCGGGAGCATTCCCGTTTGGACGTGGTGACCACTTGTTTGTGCCAAGGTGCCAGAAGAGGATCTGCCACCATCAGGAGCGCAAGTGGTGCTGATCCCACCTTCAACTTCCTAGCCATTGGGTTCCTTCAGGGGTCTTCCAGATCTCCATCAAAGCATCCGTCTCCAACAGTCGACTCTCTTGGAGCATCCTGATCTTCTCAGCATGGCACACAGTGAAAACATGTGGTCACGCCTTGACAGATTGCTTTCCCATTCCTTCCCCAGCAAAGAGGTGCAGAAGACTGAGTGGCAAAGAACCAGGGTTTGCATTGAGCTCGACTTGGTCCAGACTTTAAGCTCAAATGAGAAAAAACAAAGAGGAACAACCAGGAAAGAAAGAACCTTATCTCCTCCTCTTTTTTCCTGGTTTGGCCCCAAAATGCAACCCACCGTCACCGAGGCCAGCTTCAGAGCATCATGGCTGGTGCTGGCTGTGTCCAATCAATCTCCTCCTCACACTCAGGGCTGACCTGCATGTTCTGGCTTTCTCTTTTCTTATTAATTACACAAGGTTGTGGATGCCAAAATGAAAAGCTGGTTTTAATTCCATGCTGCAACCCAGTTCCAAGCTGCTGAGATAATTAGCAGGTTTTTTTTTTGTTGTTTTTTTCTTTTTAATGAACAAGGAGACTACCAACATGGAGGAAGGAAAGATGTGGAAGGAGAGAAATCATGGCTGGGGCCTGGTCGGTGAAACTGCATTCAAGTCGGAGATGGACTCGAGCTTCAAAGCACACCAACGCCCTGGGGGCTGAGCCTTCAGCACCCGGTGAGGTGCTCCTGAGCGTGGTGAGGGCGCGTGCTGGATGGCGCTGCAGGACAGCTCTGCAGAGTGGTGCGCTCAGGCGTCTGCTTGGCCCAGGGCCACGCTGAGGAACGGAGAGGCTCCGTCTCGTCGCAGTAGCCTGTTGACATCCATCTGGCTCTAGGGAGGCAAGAGAAAGCAGTTTTGGAGCCTGCTTTTCCACAAGTCTTGGGTAGCCGCAGCTCTGAGTTGCACCACCCTCGGGCTGTCTGGTGAGCTGGAGCAGCACCACCAGACTGAGTGGGTTCCTGCTAGTGGCAGGAAGGTTTCACCCCAAAGCACATCTATCCAAATCACTTATGATCTGTGTGAACACTTCCAAAATCAACCTGATGGCAAGCATGGATACAATTTCCCAGGTTAATGCTGAGGTGAACCATCAGCTGCAAATTACTAGGCAATATGTTCCTTGGTAGAGGATGCAGGAAAGCACTTCTCTATATAAAGGAGGAGCACCACGCGGAGGTGAAATGCCAGCAAAAACAGCATGTCCCCAGAGAGTGCAGCCTCCAGCCTGAATTGTTGCTTTCTCGTGTGCATCGCAGAGACATGCGGTTGTTGTTCCTTTAATTATTAATCCTTGCACTGACGTATTATATGTGCATGGGTTTCTGAGGGGGGGGCTCCAATGTAAAAATGAAAAATACATTTCATTCTCTCTCTTAAAACTTGTCTCTATTCCATGACCAATTTTATTGCCGTTCCGCTCTAATTTTAAATATAACGAGAAACATTAAGGCTTTCAATTAAAAGATCTCTTTCTGGAGATACTGGAAAGTAGCCTGAAGTGTGGACCACGTGTGCCATGTTTAAGTGGGATGCTGCCTGCTATCTGATTTCCAGTTTGGTCATTGCTGCGGGGCACAGTGCTTGTGGCTGACTTTGCCAAGCTGTGCAGCAAGCACTGCTTTCAGGAGCTCCTCACAAGATGCAGGCTGTAGTGAGGGGCAAATAAACCTCAGCACGATGTGACCCTGAATTCTGAGATTTTTTTGATGTTTGCTTCTGAATTTTACATCTCTTCTATTTTCTTTGTAATGGGCTGAGCCACAGCCATGACACAGGAGGTCTCCTGCTGCAGTGCAGATGGAGGATCCAGAAACTGCCTGTAGAGCCACTTTTAGTGACAGTGACTTTGAAGAGAGTCCTCGTTTACCATGATTTTATCATTGCGTTCTTCAGACAGTGTTAGGTGTGAAGTTTGATCCATGGAAGGTTTGTCCAAATCTTCTTTTCTCCAGCAACCTAAATCTTGCACGTGGCCTCATTCGGTTTTGTCCTTTCAGGGCACCAAGTCCCCTGGAAAGCTTGCAGCTAGGGAGATATTTTGTCCGAGGCAGAAATCAGTGTTTGCAAATATTTGCATTACCAAGGTACCAACAGCGTTAGACCCAGCTGACCAAACCCAAAGTTGCCATTTCTCACAGATGTGCTCAGCCCCCTATTTTTCACCCTCCTGCAGTGTCACAGCGCCCACAAAGCATCAGGACATTGTGTCAACAGAGGGCAAATGTGGCCGATTCACACATCCTGAGCTGAACTCCAGCCCAGCTAACACATGGACACTGCTCTGCTTTGGTATCTCAGAAGTGACATTCTGACATGTCTCTGCCTTATCAGGACAGACAGCCATCACATTACCATTTTAAAAAGGGAGATGCATTGGGCAAAAGTCTTGCTCCATCAAGTTTTCCCATTGACTTGGCAGGTCTTGGTGTCTGTTGGGGTGCTTGGGGTTTCACAGGCAGAGCAGGGAGAAGGACATTGCCGAGCAAGGCTGCAGTTGGCAGCTCATTTTCCTCTTGGTGTGTTGCTGCTTTCTTAATGGAAGTGGCATCTCTTTGATTTTATTAACTACAAGGATGTTAGCAGAGAGCTTCTTGTGACGCTGGGGAAAACAGCGGGTTTCTGAGGATAAGATGAAAAGACAGAGCTGGGTATTATAGCAACATGTAAAAAACACCACAGCAAAGGCTTTTCAGGTGAGAAGAGCTTCCAAGTTGGATCAGACCCACCCTGGCTCCATGTAATTAGCCGAGAGCAAGCAGACTCTGCATCGAGCATGGAGTGCTTGCCCTGTTTGGGGCACCTCCCTGCCCTACTCCAGCCAGGAGAAGCTCAGCCATCCTTCCCCACATGCTTGTGTCTGACCGCAGTTTTGCAGGGTGTGCTGGGCACAGGGGCAGGGGGATGACATGCAATCCATGCAGCGGGGTTGCAGGAAACCCATCAGCCAGATACAGAGCTGTGCAGGATCTTGTCCAAAAAAACATCTCTGACAAATGGTGGGGCTGCCTGGAAAGCCAGGGGTGGCCAAGCACACAGGTGGGCAGGCTCTTCCATTCTCAAGCCAAGTGGTGTCAACTTCTGTCATTACTGCATGATTTTCATGCACCGGCTTGCATCCTGTCTCTCTGTGTCGTATTTTCTGGAGGGCAAACCATCTGCTTGCTTGCATAGGTCTCAAGGCTGGAAGACCCATTGCTCCTTCTCCCACTCAAAGTTTCCAGTATGGGCTAGAGAGTTTCATTGATTTAACATATTGCTACAGGGCAGCAATGCTGTCTGGAGACTCCAAATCTGATTTAATTAATTTATAATCCGAGACAATAATTCTCTTTTTGCTGACATGGAAGCAGGATTCAATGTATCTGTTCTGGGCAGACAAGAGACTCTGAAAGTGCAATATTGTTTTAGGCCAATAAAATAGGCATATGCATTTCCAATTAATCAGACTAATTAGAGCCCTTCAGTAAAGAGAAAAAAGCAAAGAGAATAAAACATGTCAGAATAAAACATAGAGGAAGAGTTTTACTCTCCTAAATTCAAAGGAAAAGCTTTGAAAACCTTGTTTGCTTTCTCCAAATATCACAGGGGATTACTTAGGACTTCAAAGGAATTTGGAAACAAACAAACAAACAAACTAGCTATACATGGAGGATCTGATTCTTAATCTACTCTTCTATATCTGCCCCCAGTATCTCCATTTTGTGACTTTCCAAATCCCTCCGTTATGTGGCGAAGTCACAAATGTCCAAGCTCAGGCCACAGAGGAAGTTCTCATTCATCTCCCAGCACAAAGCATTTTTAATTCATTTTCAAATTATGGTTTTCACCCAGATTTGCAAATGAAACTACATTCATGTCACATGGATGTGCATGTGTCTGTCTGTCCCGGTTGCTTCTGCATTCCTGGGAGCAATTTAGGTGAATTAGGCAGAGTCATGCTCAGCCAAAGTAGATGCAGCCTGGTACATGTCAGGCAGGAGAACCCTTTGAAAGGTGCAAGTCCTGCAAAAAAATTTTCTTGGGCTTGCAGGACAGTGGGACACCAGGCATTACTAGCCCTAGCACAAGGAGATATGATGAAGACACATAAAATAACAGTAACTGGGCTCCAACTAATGGCTGTTCAGAATTAGAAACTAAAAGAGGTTTTGTTTTTTGCTGTTTTGTTTCCACAGCTAGTGGGACGATATTTTGTGCACAGGCTTCACAGAACCCAGGCAAGAGCTGCACACAGGCATATGATAGGAATCCCTACTTCTACTGACAAAGGTTTTAAAAGATGAACATGAAGGAGACCTAGATCATCTTGCTTTGTGACATAAATCTGCCTCTAACTAACTGTGCACTCAGAAGAAACCTTATTGATGGGCTGGTTTAAATATTCAAAACTTATTAAAAATAGGAAAGCATTTACTGACAGTTTTAAGGACTGCTTTTCATTTAATATATTTAGTCTAAGGAAAAGCTAAGGTCATGGAGGCAGCCCACACATTCATTTAACAGTCCATCAATCCACCAGTTCTTCACTAAAATTTTTTTTTGCATACTCAAACTTAATTTCATTGGCCAACTCAAACTTAATTTCATACTGAAGCAACAATCTCAAATGCCTGCTCTTCCAGCAGGTTTCATGACAACTGGATGGATGAAAGAGAAAGAGCAAAATCATGTCCATAAGATGAAGAGTCAAATTTAACTCAAAAGAGTTTAAGGGGACAAAACCACAGGAAAGGATATCCTGTTAATTCTTCTGTTCACAGAACTATTTCTCTGTTTGTTGTTGTTGTTGTTGTTTTCCCTTTAACTGACTTAGAGACAGTTAGAAAAAATTAAGTTGCCTTGAAGCAGGAAAACATTCAAATAAAAGCCTAGCCCATGCAATCTGCTCTGCTCCTTTGCAGGATCTTTCAGCGAAACACCCTCAGGACTGTTTGGAGTTGCAGGGCTCATTCATTACTGCAATTCCAATCTGCCAGCCTGTGCTGTGGTTACAACGTGGTCACCATCCCTTTATCGGTCAAAGCCAGGCATTGCCTAAAGCAGTAGAAAGCCAAAGAGAGCCTCTACAAAGAGCCCACTCTTTCATTCTTATTCCCAGTGCACGTTCCTTACTGTTGTGGCCACTTTATTGTCCTTTGCTCTTTCACAAGGACAAAGAGCAACCTGATCCAACACAACAAAGCAAGCCAAGATGCTGGCTTTGTTATAGCAAGATGCCAACAGCCACCTCTCCATTTGTGTCACTTTACCATGAGCTTTTTCACCATCCAGCATGGGCAAACCCATCTCTGGGGAGGTTTGCGCCCAGCTCCTGGGACTCCATCATAGGGCCACCAGTCCTGCTTGGTCATCCTGGGGCTGCCATATAGCCCCAGCCCTGGCATGGACAACATGAACCTTCTGCACTATGGACATCTGGAACACAAATCCTGTGAAGAGCGACTGAAGGAACTGGGGTTGTTTAGTCTGGAGAAAAGGATGCTCAGGGGAGATCTTATGGCTCTCTGCAACTGCCTGAAAGGAAGGTGCGGGGAACTGGGGGTTGGCCTCTTCACGCAGATAACTAGAGATAGGACTAGAGGGAATGGCCTCAAGTTGCACCAGGGAAGGTTTAGGTTGGAAATTAGGAGACATATCTTCTCAGAAAGAGCAGTCAGACATTGGAATTGGTTGCCCAGAAAGGTGATGGAGTCACTGTACCTGGGGGTGTTCAAGGAAAGGTTGGACCTGGTGCTTAGGGATATGGTTTAGTGGGTGACATTGGTAGTAGGGTGATGGTTGGACTAGATGATTTTGAAGGTCTTTTCCAATCTTATTGATTCCATGATCAAACACAGCCTTAGGTCCCCAGCTGCCATCCCCATTCAAGCCAAATCACACATCCAGTAAGAAAAGCAATAGGAAGTAGCTGTTTGCGCATTTTCACAGCAGCCCACCAAGAGCCAAGAAAAGGGGTTGAGAACTCACTGCAAGAGGAGGTGTCAGGTCAATTCACTGGAGGTGCAGCAACTGCTCAGAAATGGGATCCCTCGCCAGTGTCCCATCCCAGCATCCCATGCTGGCCACGGGGTCCTACCCTGGCTATATGAAAAATTTCCCTGAGAGGATGAAATAGTTTGGCTGCCCTCTTCCCAGGAAAAGGAAAACATTTTCTGTCAACTGGGGAGTCTTTCAAGCACTTTCCAGCCCCCGTGCTTGTTCTTGGTTATGATTTGGGATGGATTTTAGCACACTGGGTACTGCAGGCACTGTGACCATGCTCTCTGCCCCGCAAAATCCCGCTTGGCATTTCAAGAGCTCCAGCATGCACGCAGCTGCTAATTGGGTTTTTATGAGCTCCTGCACCACTCTCGTTTGAGCAACTCAGAGGGCTCAGCAAAAGAGTCATTAAGCAACTCTTTGAAGTGTAGCTATTATTACCTAAAATGCTAAGCACGATTTAATGCTACCAAATTGTGTAACTTGCATCCAGCCGCACACGATGCAAACTGTGCTTGCTCTTATACGTGCAGCTGGCACGTGATAGTGTGCAGGGGAGGGAGGAGGGAAGCTTTCAACCTGTGCTTGAGAATATTTACATCCTGTATGGATCTGAGGCACTTGCTTAAAATCAAGATACCAGCAAACAGTCCCGACAGTGATGCTAAGATGTATGCTTACATCTGCATGGGGCATTGTTCCTTGCTTTCCTTCAGAGGATGCTGCAGGACACTGGGTGAGGTCCCTGATCCCAGGATGCTGCCAGGAGCAGCGTGGCTCTTACCTTGGCTTTCTGTCTCCATGGCAATGGCTCTGCGTCATCCTTTTAGCTCAGCAACCTCAACCGATGCAAAATCTGGCCTCATTTTGGGATCCCAGGGTAGAAACAAGTGCAGACAGCTCTCCTTGCTGATGTGCAGGCAGGAGGGTGCTGGCCACAGGGACAGCTGGAGCAGTGGGTGTGTGATGTGTGAGCCAGGCTGGGAAGAGGTTTCACCAGCCTCTCTTTCACCCCATGTTTTTCCTCTGCTGTGTGCAGAGAAAGCCTCAATCCGGTAGGTAAAACACCTGACCTGCAAGCCAAGAAAAGCCCAGAGGAGGCTGGATGGGCTGTGCCAGGGGAAAGACAAGGGATGGGGCAGGACTGGTCCCTCCTCCTCTGGCAGAGGCAGAGATGGGACAATGCTCCCGTATTTTGTACCTCTGTGCAGGCAGAAGTGGCACCCACATTCCTCTGTCTCAGGTCATACGTTGCCTTTCCAGGAAGGGAAACAGGAAAGGAGGTCTCCTGAGTGCCTGCTCAAAAAAACAAAGCCAAAATCTAAAATAATTTTAAACTGAAAAGTTGTGAGCAAGAGGGTTTTTGAAGGGTCTTGGAGGGGAGAGAAGAGCAACTTTACTCAAAGCATCCATGGGCGACCATCAGGGCTGTCCTGAGCCTGTCCACTGATAGGGCCTTGCCTATTTCCTTTCCTAAATCATCACTCCATAATCACCAGAGCAATTTTTTTTAATGTGATTTAGGTTAAAATTAAAGAGAAAGAGATTCTCCCTCCTAAACCCTCATTTGGGGTTAATCCTGTATTTGTACTAGATAGGAATGAACCAAATAATTGAAGGAGTAGGTCACCACAACAACTAATATCTTCATGCAGTGCTTTCCATTAACATGTTTGGGATTATATCAATTCAACTGGGTCCTGGAGAGCAAAGATTAACTGTTCATGTGGTCTTCCTCATGTGGTCACCTCCTCATCAGGATCCTAGAAAACCTCCACCAGCCAACCCTCACCCACCCATGCCAAGGACAAAGGAGAGGCACAAGGAGAGCCAGGACACGCTCCCCCATAGCCCCCTAGACATCCTTTTTGGGATGGGGAAGGGACCAAAAGGCCCTTGTTGGTCTCAAATGTTATCTGATGGGGTGATAGGATGGGAAGAAATTAAAGAACCCGGAGGGAAAGTGCAGGTGACACGATCCCCCTGCTCTGACACTGACTTTCATAGGCCATGGTGCAGTCACCTGGGAAATCCTCAGGGATGGTGGTGTAAGAGGGGTTGCTCTGCAAGAGAAAAGCCTGCAGGCATGCGTTGACTCATGCTGTGGGCAGAGGAAGCTGTCAGAAGAGGCTGATCACACAGGGACAGCCCTGGCCAGGCAAGCGTGTTAGCTGAGCAGAGGGCCTCAGGAAAGAGACCTGGGCCAGGCCGCTGGGCAGAGGAGCTGAGCAGGCCCATGCACAGACTGTGACTTCGCCAGAAGGACTTGAAGGGGTCAAAAGGACCAAAGCCTCAGGTCCTTGAGCACAGAGGTGATGAGGACAGAGGGGTCTGCATGGTGGCGAGGGGTTGGCCTTGGGTATGTGGGCTGCTCCCCGGCCTTTTCCTGCTGCATGGGCTGAGGCAAAATGGGTCAGGCTCACTGAGCATCAGTGGGGCTGTGGCTCAGGGCCTGGGGCTTTGTCTGTTTGGATTTGCAGGCACATGCATGAGCATGCACTGTGCGTGAGCACATCTTTCCATGCAGGAAATCCCAAAGCTAAGAGCCCGCTTAAGAATAATCCCCTGGTCTTTTCCACATGCAGAGAACAGGGGTCCAGCTATGCTCCCCCTCCCCAGTGGATTACTCGAGGAGACGTCTGCAAGACATCCTCACAAACACCTCCTCCCCCAGAAGCATTTTTCCTCCTTGGTTGTTCTCTGAGTGAGTAAAGGCCTCAGGATTTTGCCCACTGATAATATAAAACAGGTGCAGAAGGAGCGTGCTGCCAGCGCCACTACTCCTTAGAGCTCCTGGAGGTTTCAGAAGCAGCCTGTCTTTGCACAGTGCTGGACCATGGTGTCTAAAACTGTAAATCCAGTACTATAGGGGCTATTCAGATAACAGAAACCCTTGAATTCAAAGGAAAATGGGCAGCACACACCTCTGCTGGGTTACCTGCGACCGCCCTTCTATCAGCACAGTCCTGCCCTACAGAAATGCTGACTGCACATCAGCCACTCAGTCTACATGAAATGCATTTCCCAGACTGAATTGACAGTGGAAATTTCTGGGCAGTAGTCCTGCTCCAGTTTCCCATATGTACTCACTCCTAGTCGTGACCGTGTTATTATTTTTATAGTTGCACTCTGCATTAACCTGTTACTGATATCACCATATCATAACGCAGCATGCTATATTCATGGTGCAAGCCCTTCTTGCTTCAGACCACAAAAACTCCTTTGCCAGAAAGGCAGCTCTGCCATACCTGTACCCGGCTGTCACGCAACGCTATCCATGTTGGAGGGCTCAAGTTTCCCCAGTTTCCAAGGGAAAGTGTTGCAAGAGCAAGCCTTATCCCATATCACCCAGGAGCTCAGCAGTTAAAAACAAACAAGCAAAAAAACAAAACCACCACCACCAACAAAAATGTAGTGCACAGAGCATGGGAGCAAATCCCGAAGGCAGGGGTGAAAAAAGCAGTGAAAAAGCCCTGTACCAGGTGAAAAAGGTGAAAAAGCCCTGTACCAGGTGTCCCCAAAAGCTGCTCAGGAGACAGCTGCAGTTGTGAGCACAGGTGTTTCATACATGCCAAACTCCCAAGCCCTGGCAGAACTGCATGATCCCTCCTGTGCTCCCAGGGCAGGGCACAGGTCCCTCTGCCACACAGCGCCAGGCGAGCACCACAGCTTCTGCTCTGCTCTGAGCCACTCCATCTTTCATTGCATTTTTTTGCTTTGGTGGGAGCTCATTCCATTTAAGATAGGATCTTTTCCAAAAGGGTAGAAGCTATTCAGCATTTAAAAAATATTTATGTCATAATATTTCTCATATGACTGATGGCATTACAGGAGCTGATAGAGCATTAGACCTGATATCATATGTTTCTATTATTTAAAGGGACAAAATCAAGTCAAAATTAACAGTCCTGCTTGCTAGTTCAGTGATAAGAGACAGGATAACAACTCCGGCTTCAGTCAAATTGCTTTTGACTTTTGTCAGTGATTTGGTTTTTCATATATGTATAATTTCCTTTCCCATTATATTAGGACTGGGGAGAGATGCAGTGTCAAAATCCAGATCAAAATGATGGAACGATAATGGAGAAGGCAAGGACTTATCAGCTGGGGCTGTCATTAAGCCCACAGCATCACCATGGAGGCTGGTGGGAGCCGTGCCCCATTGCTCCTCAGCCTCTGCCCAGCATCCCCAAAATGCCTCAACACCCCTACCTGGCTGAAGCATCTCTGCTGGGAAAGCCTTAGGGGGACTGGGGTAGAAAAACGGAGCTCAAGACTAACAAGAAATAGTTGCTTATGAACCACAGCAATTCTTGTTGAGCTTGAGAAATCATCTCTGATTTCTGGAGCCAGCTACAGGAGGCTCCAGGGAGGCTCAGCCTTGGTGACGCACCGCCAATTAGAGCCCAGGATGTAACGTGTAATGAGCCTGAATGAGCACAGCTATTTGATGGGATGGAAGGATAAAAGAAGAGTGAGTGACCAGGCTGCTCCACCCACTGAAGCACTTCGTGGCATGAGGAAAATAATTAGCACCTAAAATGAAAATGAAACAGAATTTGAAGAAGCCAGGAGAGTTAACAAAGAAAACTTGTCATGGAGGGCTCAGGTAAACACAAATGAAGATGCAATAGAGACACTAAGTGACATTTTCAGAAGTAGTTTAGGAAGCGTAAATCTCATTTTATGCAGGACTTCAATTTCCATGGACCGTGATGAAGCCTGAGCCTCAGGAAACCTGGTTTACATGATGTTTAGACACCTAAAATACAGTCCGGAGCTCAGGGGCTACAAGATATCCCCCGTGAAGGAGCCTCACACTGCGCTCAGCATCTTTAACAGCCTCTGGCCAGACTCTTGTGGATCAAGCCCACCTCTGTCCTAAGCTCCACAGCCATTTCAGAAATGGGATTTAGGACAGCCTGAAAACTTTGCCCAAAATCCTATTTCTACAAGCGAATGTTACTGAGCATTTGGCTCTGAAGTGTCATTTTGAATACTACTCCAAGTGGCTTGGAGCCACTAATGAAAGCCCAGAGCTGCACTTGGAGTTTGTAAGTAGCGTCCAGGAACAAGCAGCAGAGATCCAAAAAGGACTTAAAGGTAGGAGGCTGCAGATGTGAGCTCATATAACATCAAAAAAGAGAATAAAGTGACGGCAGGGAGGAGCTGGGTCCTGCCCAAAGGATGTGTGGGTACCACATTTATCACAGACATGGAGGTGTGCTATGGGGCGGCACAAGACCCGAGCCAACCGGTGCAGTAATAACAGCAAATGGAGTCGAGGTTTAATGAGCACTAAAGGGAGGGATGGCTGGAGACAGTTGCTCTCTTACCATGATTCACAAAATGGGCACCTGGGGTGTGATCCAAACACAGCTCCCTGCTTCAGGGACCCATCTGTAATTTCTCCATCAGTAAACCAGTCTGGTAGGAGTGGCTGTGTCTGATAATGCTGCCTAATTCCCACCAGGAGGTACAAATGAAACCCTCTGGTGCCTTTTTTTTTTTTTTTTTAATTATTCCTCCTGTCAAGGAAGAAATTGAAGGATATTTTATTCTGTCCTTATTCAGAACCATTCATCTCAAAACAACTTTCCTTGTGGCCATGAAACCACATTGTCTTCTCCTGTCTGTCTTTGGGAGCCAGATATTCCAGAGGAAAATGTTAAGTTCCCCTTTTCCCGGCATTTCCTCAAGCAGACAGCAACCAAAGCATCTTGACACTTGAGGGTTCATCGTCACACTTGTGCTGTGTTTTTCTGGTGGGTCTCAAGGGCTCTGTACACACCTGGGCTCTGAGCTCTGTACACACCTGGGAAAAATGATGACCTTCATATGAACAGTTCCCAGCCTGTCATTACAGAGACAACCTCCCTTTGCTTGCCTTTGCTAAACAATGTTATCTTGCATTCAGGTGAGAATGTAACATCTCAAGTACAAAATTCTCCTTACATGCAAGCCTGATGCAGCTGCAGCCCTATGCTGTTACTCTGGGACAGGTATTCATGACTCAGCCACAATTGCTGGTGTAAAGCTGGATAAGCCTTAAACTCCTCATGTCTCTGTTTGCCACTTACAAAAGCAGGACAGTTAATGACCGATATTCTCCAGTTCTTTACTATTCTTCTGTTATTATTAAAATTGTAAATTGCCGTGGCCAGAGACAGTTCAGACAATGATACAGCCTCTGGGCTTTTCCTTAATGCAAATAAATACTTCCATTATGGCTATGATAATCAAAAACTCAATAATGCTGACACAACATCAATAACAGTGCCTTAAGTGAAGGAATG